GGGCGGCCGGGGCGGGCTCTGCGAGTCCCACCAGACCTGGGACCCCCTCCTGGTGCATGTGGTGTCAGACAGCCGGAGGAAGCAGCAGTACACCGCCATCCGGCCCTGCCCTGAGTTCATGCCGACCCTCAGCTACTGCAGGTTCGTCTCCAGGGGCCAGCCCTGCAAGCACACCCCACAGTGCTGCCAGTACGCACACAGCGACGTGGAGATGGCCATCTGGGAGGCCGAGAGGGAGCACGGCTTGCTTCGCTCCAACCTGCTGCCGGCCACGGAGACCTGCAGCACCAACGGCGAGCCGGCGGAGCCCACGCCGGTGCACTTCTACTGCCGGGTCTGCCTGGTGACCTTCAGCTCGCAGCAGAGCTTCGAGAGCCACTGCTCCTCCGTTGAGCACGTGCAGATGCTCTCGGCCGACACCTCTGTCCAGTGGGTCCACCGTGCGCCACCACTCGGGCTGACCAAGTTCTCGCTGTGTAGCAGGTAAGGCACCCACCCGGTGCAGCAGGGAAGAGGGCAGGGGCAGCAGGCAGCTGCTGGCTCCTTGTAGACCCCCGTGCCACCAGGCATGGGTGACACCTGGGACACCTCTCTCCCGACAGAGTGGAGGTGTGCGAAATGGGGAACAGCTGCACCAAGGCTCATTCCACCGAGGAGCTGCAGGAGTGGATCCAGAGGGTGAAGATTGCCGTGAAGAAAAAGAAGCAAGCGCTGAAGGAAGGGCTCTTGTCCTACCAGGACCGGCTCATCGCCGAGTATCGGATGTGCTCCAACGAAGTGTTGATTGTGAGTCGTGGGTGGCAGGGTGTGCGTTGGTCCGGCGCACCGCGAGAAGCCTCTTGTGTAAGAGCTTGGGAACGGAGCCCACCGCTCACCTTTCTAACGGTGATGCAGAAAGGGATGTTGCATCCCCCTTCCTTCACCCCTTTTGAGACGGCAACCTGAGAGCCTACTCGGGGTACCCGGCCGCGCTGCTCTGCCATGGGTCCTTTCGTTTCCCAAGGCTGCTGCGTGGGGACACTGAGCAGCGGTGGGTGAGGACTGAGCGTGAGGATTTACTGACGGTCCCCTCTCGGGAGGATGTAGCGTAAAGGCAAAGGATGAAGAAGGCCCTGAGGAGGGCTCTGCAGTGTGTCCCTGGGACGTTGCCTTCAGTTCTGCTCCTCTCATGCCTCCCCCACAGATGGCTGAGCACGTTGAGGGCGTCAGAGTTGTGTGTGAACAGCCCCTGCACGTGCAGTTGGAGGACAGGAGGATGAAATACCGGTGGAAGTTCAGGGTCCACTCCCAGGTAAGCCCAGCTCTGCGCAGCGGGAGGCTGCGTGCCGCTGGCAGCCCCTGCTGCTGTGCACAGTCCTTGTCCTTTGGGGGTTTTTTTGTTTGTTTTTTTAATTATTATTTCTGCAAGGGGCAGAAGGATAGGGATTTTGGGATGTCAGAATGAGGACGTGTGTTGGGCATTCGGGAGCAGCTCAGGCTCAGGTGGTGCCTGAGCTGGGGCCGCGCGTGAGGGGTGCAGCCACCGTGTCTCCTGTCTCGTCTCGTGCGGTGGGGCTGGGGCGGACCCAGCTGCTCTCGGCACCTCCCACGTATCATCACAAATAACAAGATTCAGCTGCTTTCCTGCCCAGGATTTCGTGGGTGTTGGGGGCAAGAGGCTGGGTCTAATCGTCCTCTCCAACACAGGAGATTTCCTGTTTACAGCAGACTGGCTCAATTGCTGCAAAACTGAAACCTGAGGTTCTTTAAGACCTTAAAATAATTCCTGTGGGGTTGCACAAGGAATAAGCTCCTTTAAGGAGAATTTCAAGTGCACTATAGGTTCGGCATGGCATTCGGTTCCTGCAGCAGCTCTCAGTAGGAAATGCAGCTGGGAGGACCCCATCAGCCGCTGGGCTCTTCTTGTGGGCTGCCCTCACCGTGTCCCTGTCTTCTCTTCAACCGGCAGATGCCTCTGCAGCACGTGGCGCTACTGAAGCGGGAACCTGGAGTCAACTTCTACCTCGTGGGGAACGGGCTTTCCCGGGACCTCCACTACATGCGGGGGGAGCACGTGGCCACCCGGCCCTCCTCCCCACCCACCGCGCTGGTGGAGGTCTGCATGGAGTGCTGCACACTGGGCGTCTTTGAGCAGTGGGTGGTGTTTGACTTCGGCAGCCGCCCCGTCCTCATGCAGAAGATCAAGGTGAAGGTGGGCCGGCGGGACACCCCCCAGCACGTCCCCGGCAGCAGGGAGAGCAGCCAGCCCGTCAACTTCGTGCGATGGGATAGAGGTAACAGGATCATCGTTCCCAGCATGCCAAGGACCGGTGAAGATGTGGATCTGCTGGCCAAGTACAAACCTCGTGCTCTCGCGCTGGACTACCAGCGCGAGGGTGGTGCGACCGTTCCCATCACCCGTCTCAACTATCGTGAGAGGATGCACAGCTTCCTCTTCCGTGAGGAAGAAGCCGAACAGGCTCTGATTGCCAAGTAAGTGCCAGGCATGGACCCAGAGGGGTTCCTCCTTGCTATGGACCACAGGCCCATTGCTAACCCCACCCTTGGGGCCATGCCGCTATCGAAGTCTCTGTCTCTTCTGGGTTGAGTCCTGGGGTGCCTTCCCAGCAAAATGGAAACCTGCCAAGAAAGGTGGCTGGCTGGGTAGTGATAGGAGGGGAAGGGCTGGGTCTCGTCCTGCAGCCGTGGATTAGCTAGAAGCACGGCTTCTGCCTCTGTGTGCTCTGGCGACTGGCGGACCCTCTCTGGGTGTAGGTGGGCATCCCCCCCTCCGCAGCGGGCTGCGAGGGTGCCGAACCGATGGGCCAGTTCTCTGCTGTTCATTCGGGTGTTTCCTCCTTTCAGACTCAACCTGCGGGTCCTCATCTCGCTGACCCCCGCGCTGCAAAGCCTCTCTGTGGGGATGAAGATTGCCCCCTCTGGTGAGCTGTTTGCTGAAGTGCCTACCCCTTATAACCTCTCGCCGGACACAGACGAGGGGTATCTGCTGAGCAGGTCTGTGCCCACTGCTTTCCTGGCACTTGACCCGCCTGTAGACAATCGGGTTTACGAGGTTAGTGTGGAGCATAAAGCCACCACGGAGAAGACCATCTGGCTACAAATACCAAAGAGATGCTGCTCAGAGCTGAACTTCAAGCCAAACACCTTCCGCAAGGTGGAGATCCAGTTCCAAATCGACCAGCTGCTGTTCCGGCAGTGGCACCAGGCTGTGGACCGCCTGTTGGATGAGAAGCTGGTCCTACCCGATGTTGCCAGTTGCTCTGTCCCCTACTCTCTTGGGCCACCACAGAAAGGGAATAGCAAGCAGAAACTAGCCATCTCCTTCATCACGGGCCAGGCAACCAGCAGCCGGCAGGTCCCACCTCTTCTCATCTACGGGCCTTTCGGCACAGGGAAGACGTTCACCTTGGCCATGGCCACCATGGAGATCCTCAGGCAGCCCAACACGCGGGTGCTGATCTGCACTCATACTAACAGGTTAGCAGGGGGCGAGGGAAGAGGCAACCAGAGTCACGGGCTGAGTCCCTGCGCTGGCCCATCGCTCGCCTGGTGGGATGAGCGGGAGCCAGGGTGTATGAGACTGGGCTGAGCTGCCCTTTTCTTAGTATGCATTTCAATTACTTGTTTAAATAAATCCATTTTAATTTAATATGTCTTAAACCGCTCTAGCACTTCCTGTTAGGAAGAAGTCTGGCATGGGTGGAAGTCTTTGTGGAAGAGGCAGCATATTCCTGCCTCATCATAAAATGGGGATGGGGTTGGAGAGACGGTTAGTTCTTTCTAGCCTTTACTGTGCACTGGAAGAAGTGGAAAGCTGTTGCCTGGCCTTGCTGGGATAATATTGTGCTCTACTTGCCCTTGAAGACTGTTGTGCTCTGTGCACATGCCAATTTTTTTTACTTTTCCGGGGAGAGTTTGGGGAAGAGGAAACGCAGATCTGGTCTGACTGCTGTTGAATCTGCCTTCAGAGAAACCAGGCCATGATTGTTAAAATTAGAGCATTTACGCTGAAAAGAGTGTCCACATCTGATCCTGCAGGCTGTTACTGCCTTAGTTTTTAATGTATAATAGATGGGTGACTGCTAATCTTAGCCTGTTTCAGACCGTCTGGTTGCACTGAAGCTTCCTCTGCAGATCTTGTATCACCCACCCGGGCTGGGGATGGTTAACTGTCAGAGGAGAGGTGCGCCGGGTCATGTCTGCGTGACTTGGCCCTAGAGAGAAGCAAGGCCGCAGATTTTACTGGGCACATTGCATTTCTCCGTATGAGCATCGAGGGATGCCCTAGTCTTGAGTATCAAGTCCTATTTTAAACCATACTCTCAAAATAAGCTTGGAATTGGTGGCTGCGTAAACACTGACTTCTTTGTGCATATGTGAGTATCTCCTGTGACGAGTGTGTTGTCAGCCAAAGCTGGGGGAGATTGTGGGCGCGTGTTGGTGATTGATCAGATAGCGCATTGGGTTGACGGTCACAGCATTGGGAACAGCACTTACAATTCCTTGATAATTTCCTCTTTTGTTCCCCTCCAGTGCTGCTGACATCTACATCCGGGAGTATTTCCATAACTACGTGACCAACGGGCATCCGTGGGCTGTCCCCTTGAGGATTATATCCACTGACCGTCCCATCAACCTGACGGACCCCATCACTCAGATGTACTGCTGCCTCTCGCCAGACCAGCGCTCCTTCCGGCACCCTACGCGGGCAGAGATCGACAGGCACCACATCATTATTACCACCTCCATGTTATCCAAGAACTTGAAGGTTGCCCCAGGCTACTTCACCCACATCATGATTGACGAGGCTGCTCAGATGCTGGAGTGCGAAGCTTTGGTTCCACTCTCCTACGCCACTTTTGAGACCCGGATTGTCCTCGCTGGGGACCACATGCAGATAACCCCAAAGCTCTTCTGTGTTGGGGATGGACAATCTGCTGATCACACCCTGCTAAACCGACTCTTTCAGTTTTACCAGAAAGAGAAGCATGAAGTGGCCATGAAGAGCAGGATCATCTTCAATGAGAATTATCGTTCCACTGCAGGCATAATTGAGTTTGTCTCCAAGCACTTCTACGTTGGCAAAGGCAATGCTATCCAAGCCAGTGGGAACATCCCACCCCATCCCGAAACCTACCCCCTTGTGTTCTGCCACGTGTCTGGCGCAGCTGAAAGGGATATGTCCATGATTTCTTGGCACAACGCCTCCGAGATAATGCAAGTGGTTGAGAAAGTGAATGAGATCTATCAGAGGTGGCCAGATGAGTGGGGTGTCCGAGATCTGAAGAAGATCTGTGTGGTCTCCCATGGGATGCAGGTATGTAGGAGAACCACGTGTTCCCCACCTGAAGGGCGTACGCATGCTCCGCTGACAGCTGTCTAAACACTCCCTAAGAAATGCTGGACTCTGTTTACGATAAATCTGTCTCTTGTGCTAGCAAAAATAGGGAATCTGGGGACTTGCATGCCACCAGTGTTTTTCTGAGGTGCTCTCCGTTTGGGTAGTATGTCACAGGTGGTTGGAGCAGAGATGCCTTACGGTGGGATGGTTTAGTTGAAGATTTCTTTCAGCATCCTCTAGGCAGGTTAACTATAGGGCAGACTGGGAGCACTGGCTGAAGTCAGCCCCGGACGTGTGATTGCTGTTGAGTAACTTTCTTGGGGAACCTGCAGCCAGGAAGGGTAAGGGACCTTGGTGTTGGGCGGGGGGCGTTTCTGAGCTGAAACTGTCTTCAGTTGTGCCTATTTCTTTCTTACCAGGTTTCTGCAACAAGACAAGAGCTGAGAAAGAAGCAGCTACAAGATGTGGTGGTAGAAAACTATGAAAACTTGCCAGGTTTGTGTCTTGTGCAATAGTTAGTCATGCTGGGCTGTGTTTTGAGGTCTTCTGTGTGCTAGGAAGAACTTTTGCGGTCACGTTGGTGGACAGGAGAGTCTATCGCAGCTACAGCCACTGTGTAATGAGCAGGGGAAAGAGACGCTGGGTCGTTAGCAGAGGTCTTTCTGGCATCTTAACGTTGTCCTCCTTGCTAAAATGCAAAATACCAGCTGATCTCATGGCAAAATACCTCTCCAGGAGGGTGTATGCTGTGCTGTTAGGCAGAGCTCCCCTGCCCTTCCTTGTGGCTCTGCCACCGCTGCAGCAAGCGGCCACAGCCCATGTAGCGCTGATGAGGAGAGAGTGCCTGGAAATCCTTTGGCTGATTTCCATCCCCTTCTGGTTGGTAATTCTTTGAGTTTGTCCTTTCCTTAGTGAATAAGATTTCACACTGAATTAAATCTGCGCCCAACTGTCAACTCGTTTCAAATATACGGACGTTGCTTTGTAGGAGGGTGAAAACCCCGTAAGTGCGATCCCAGGGACTTGAGCATGTGTGAATCATGTGAAGCCCCAAGTACCAGCGGGGGTGGCTAGTAATAGAAGGGAATTGAAACCAGGGTGGCCTGTGAGTACCAGTCGCAGCAAAAATCGCAGAACAGCTCACTAAAGGAGGAGTCTGCTGCTCTGGATGACGAGAGAGGGATAGGGCTGGTTTTGTCCTCAAGGACTTAGTTTATGACTCATCCGTGGTTTTATTTTTTTTTATTTTTTTTTTTATTGTGCAGCTGGGACTCCTCGTGGTGAGAATAACTGACCCCTGGGGTGTGTTTCTGATCTCCACACCCTTTCTTTGCAATGTCTTCTCAGCTCTGAAATCACCGGGGTGCCTCTTGCTGTTTGTTATTTGTCATGCGATCAGGCAGCAGAGCTGCCCTTAAGGGGAGGGGGATTCTTGCGAACGGTCACTGCTCTTGTTCCTGCAAGACCCTCGGTTCCCCGAGGAATTTGGGATTCAGAGAAAACTCTACCCGTGTTTGCGAGGAGTGGCTGGCAGGGGCTGCCGGTGGCACTGAGCATGCGGGACTGCTCCACGGGTGCTCGCGGCTGCACTGGTCCGGTGCTCTGCCTTTCTCCTGTCTCCACGCTGCCCTTCCCTCCCTGGTGCGTGGGTGGTGGCAGCCTCGTGGTGTCCATCCTGGTTCATGTCTGGAGGCCCTCACGATCCCCAAGAGCTGCTTTATTTGCATCAAGTGACTCCCATGACTCAGCCAAGTGAGGTTACATCAGCCCACGGCCACGTAACACAGTGTAGATGGGCAGAGCGTAGGGCGGCAGCCAGACAGGGTCTTCCCCGTTGGGTTCCCATGAGTGACTTCTCCCTTGTCCCCTCTGGTGCAGGGCGGGAGTTCCGGGTCATCATCATCAGCACGGTCCACAACAGTGAGAGCCTGCGCATCTCAGCCTCCCACCACCTCGAGTTCTTCAACGAAGCCAGAGTGCTCAACACCATCATGACCCGGGCTCAGTCACTGGTTGTTGCAGTGGGGGATGCCGTGGCCTTGTGCTCCCATGGCCAGTGCAGCAAGGTATGGAAGCGCTTCATCCAGCAGTGCATCGAGAAGGGGAGCGTCTTCCCGGAGAACCTGACAATGGCCCAGATCAAACAGGCTGCGTGCGACAAGGAGAGCTGGAGCAGGAGGAGCCCAGAGGAGGACGAAGAGGACAGCGACACTGATTCCTGGAGCTCTGAGGCTGAGAGCGTGAATCCTGACGATCCCATCCTCCAGGAGCTCTTAGATGAGAGCAAGAACGTGCTGGTGACGGTGTCCGAAGAAGGGCTGCTGAACGTGAAGTCTGAGGCTTCAAACCTGCGGGAAGGCAGGAAGGAATATGTCAGCTTCTCTTCTCAGATGATGCAGGAGTATCTGCACATGCACCCCAAAATGTACAAGAGGTGCGAGCTGATCAAAGAAGGGTTCGACAGAGCTTCTGCCTTCACCCTCAACGACTCCCCTGCAATGACCATTCAGATCAAAGGCAGAGTTCACTGCGGGACGGCCTTCACCGGGGACGAGGTGCTCGTGGAAATCCTGCAGAGCAGCACGGCTGACAGCGGCAGCCACCGCCCTCAGGGGAAGGTGGTGGGCATCTTAAAGCGCGCGGAGAGAGAACGGACCTTCATCTGCATGATGGACGAATTTGATCCCCGGGTGATGATACCCATCGATCCCACTGTCACCAAAATATTCGTCCCAGGGCTGAAAGAGAAACCCAACGTCATTCCTATCCGCAGGCTTGTCAATGGGAAGTACAGAGTGGTCAGCTGCGAGAAGATCAGCCAGGAGACAAGGAGATGCCAGTTCTTCTGCGTCCAGGTTATCTCCTGGCGGGAAGGGTTTTACTACCCTCTGGGGATAATAACAGAGATTCTGCATGCAGCGTTGACTTTGGAAGAAGGCTTAAAGATCCTCGACTTGGAGTATGGTTTGGAGAAGAAATACCCAGCTGCTGTCACCAAGGAGTCAGCCAAATACACCTCCAGCAGCAAACTAAACGTCACCAAGGAAAATCTGAAGGACTGTCGGAGTTACCTGACCTTCACTGTTGACCCCCAAGGCGCCAGGGATTTGGACGATGCTGTCAGCGTTAGGGATCTTGGGCATCGCTATGAGATTGGGATCCACATTGCAGACGTGGCTGGCATCATTCCCAAAGGCAGTGCCTTGGACCTGGAAGCAAAGAAGCGGGGTGTCACCTACTATGCTCCCAACCAGGAGCCGCTGTGCATGTTCCCACCCCACATTAGCCAAGAGGTCTGCAGCCTCCTGCCGCAGAAAGATCGTCGGGTGATCTCCTTGTTTGTCACCATAGAAAAGGAGACTGATGAGATGTTAAAGGCAGTCTTCACCATCTCTGTGATCCGCTCGGACAGGCAGCTGTCCTATGAAGAGGCAGAGCTCTACATTAAGGACCACTACATGGGAGGGGCAAGGGCCCTTCGTTTCGATACCCTGGAGGACTGCGTAGCTGTGGCTTATCACTTCTCCAGGGTCCATCGGAAGTTTCGGCTGCAGGAGGACTGTTTCTATGACCGGCTGGATGAGGAAAGAGCCCCAGGTAACAGGGGATCCCATCAGATGATAGAGGAGTTAATGATCATGTTCAACAGTTTCGTGGCCGAGTTCCTCACCAACCAGGAGGACACCAGAAATGTCACTCCTCTCCGGTGTCAGTGCGAGCCAAGCCTTCAACAGTTATCACTCATGAAAAACAAGTACAGCCACATCCTTCCTTTGTCCATCCATCTCTCACACCACCTGGGAGAGGTGCCTCCTGGCCAAGACTCCTCCAAAAATGTGGAGTTCAGCCTCCTGGCCCCCATCTGGGAGCAGCTGCAGTCAGCCGCTAACGTCCGTGACTTCCACAAGATGCTAGACCTTATCGTTACTGATGACATCCACCCGAAGCTGGCCCCTGTGGCCCTGGAGTTCAGGAGACTGCTCAGCCGCTCCTATTTCAGTCGCTCCAACTCCACTGTCCAGTCGAAAGCAGGCCATTACTCCCTGCACGTTGACTCGTACACCTGGGCTTCCTCTCCCATCCGCCGGTATGTGGATGTTGTGGTCCAGCGGCACCTTCATTCTGTGATCCGCAAGAAGCCCATCGTCTATTCTTCGGATGACATTGAGTTTCTCTGTCATGACTTCAACAGGAAGAATTCCCAGGCGGTGATGTACGAGAAGAGAGCCCGCTGCCTGCAGATGGCCACCCAGCTGAAGGGCCAAGTCCTGCAGAAGATCGCCTTCGTAGTGGATATCGAAGGGATGAAAAAGTATTTTAAAACCCTGTTTCCACTGAACAAAGAGAGTCTTCCAGATCCCCAGATAATTAACTACAGGTCTCTTCAGCTGATAGAGCAGCCCGTGTTCATCCAGCAGCGGAGCAGCATCAAACTGTCGTGGAAGAGGAGGATGTACTCTGTGGAGACAATGAAGGAGCACAGCCTGCGGGAAGGACCTCTCCGCGACCACAGCGTCACCCTCTTTGACACCAAGACTTGGCAAGCC